TTTCTAAACATTGTTATTCATTATTTTATCTATCTATGAATTTTTCAGACTTTTACAAAAATTTATAAAAATACAAAAAAATGTGTTTTTAAGAAGAACGATGAAAATGAGATAGAACATGACTTGTTCAGCTCATGGAATGAACGGAGTATCATATCAGTACGAATGTTTTTGAAATTTGGTAAATACGAAGAAGACAGTCTTGAGAAGCCATAGAAAAAAACAGACCAAGATTTATGACCGATTGAACAATACCGTCAAGGGAGGTTATAAAGCCGCAACTTCAAGCTCTTTCACAGTCCAAACCACGGTGCACCAGGCTAAAATCTACATACCATTGGAAAGATCTCTCTCTCGAGAATCCGTAGCATCTTACGGATCTCAAATCCGATGTGTATAGACGAAGAAAAAGCTCAATGAAAAATGCATGGACTGCGACCCGATACTAGTCAACTACGCCCACCGTTATATCCGACCGGTATCGAGTCACATTCGTCCCACGTCTCGAAGGCCTGAATACCGGAAGCGCATACCGGTCGAAACTTGTGACCGGTACTGGAGCAAAACTGCCTTGAACTTCCAGCAGCCCCGACCGAAATCCCGACCAGTACGCAACCCAATCTCGCCTCCTCTCGTCCTTCGCGCGACGAGCGCGTACCGATCTTCACCTTCCCGCGATCCCGCCTCATCCCGATCATTCCCTTCCCGCGACCAACCCATCCATCACGCGTCCCACGCCTCGGCCGCGGTAAAATTTCGGTCAGAGTATCGGTCCACTCACCCGACCAATTCTCGACCACATGTGATCTGCGACTAAAATGTGTCCCGCATACCAGCCTACACCGCCGACCGGCGCCACGACCGATATTGCCTTGACCCGCGACTCCAACTCCACCAACCACCGTCTTGTGATGCGAACCATCTAGGATCCGAGCCACAACTCTACCATCCTTGCCCGCGACTAGCCAACCGACACCTCGACCGGTTTTGACCACACAACGTCCCCATCAACCACCAAGCCATTGGAGGCACGAGTCATGGACCATCGGACTACCACTTCGAACCATCGAGCCGACCACCTAACCGTTTGGTCAAAAGAGGTTCATTCTTCTTTTTTCACTCTTTTAATTATTTTACAACCATTTTTCACACATAATTCACACATAATTTTTAAGAACCAATTTATTTTTGTATTTTCATGATTATTTAACTAAAATTATTTCTTTCATGAACTTTTGCATTAGAAATTAAAATATTGGTTAGATTTAAATGGTTTTAAATACGATTTTCACATCTTGACATATTCATTCATCGATTTCACTTAGATTGATGATTTTTAACAATTTGGATTCATTATTTGATTTTTCTTTTTGTTTTTTATCTATTGTTCCTTCTCTTGGACTTGGAAATCAATACACATGTATTGAAGACTTTGATCCAAGATGAATTTAACAAGTGATTTCAAGTGTTTTTGCAAGGATATGTTGCTCTTAAATAGGATTTCCAAGAGATTTCTTTGTGGACGCACAATTCAATCGTCTTAAACATGATCCTCCATTCAAAAGAGATGTGACAGAAAAGAGGAGAAATTGGAGATACAAAGCATGATTTAGATTTATACGGGATACCTAATGCTCAAAAACAACGAAGATCTAAGATTGATCGCGACAACCTAAGATTTTTGCCAAAAATAGCTAAGCTCACCGGTACTATCATTCTAATCTCTATCTGTTTGATTATTCTTTCAAATAAATTTCCAGCATTACTCCCTTAATTTGATTTAGT